TTTTGAAGAAATGTGCATGTAATCATCTATGTCTCTCCACCTGACTATTGTCAGTGCACCGTTGTTATGATTCTGCTGAAGTTGTTGCTCTGCACATCAGTACCGACGACACGTCCGTTGCACTCTGACACTGCAATAAATAGCGTGCAGAGAACTCCCAGACCAAGGCCACGGTGCTGATCAGCAGCAGACATGTTTGTTATTTTCTTGCCTTATAACTGTAGCCATGCTGCCAGTGATTTAATGGCCCCATTATTCTGCATACAACACATCCACAAATGTGAATAAATCTGCACCTTAAAAGGACTTATGTTTTTACAGTTTTCTACAGCCCGAACACGGGACATCCACTGAGATAATTTACTCTGACATTTAGCTCTTATCAAATTGGGTGATTGTGACGGCAGGGAAAGTAGCCCACAGTTGCCTGTGTTGGAGGAGGAGGCGAGCAGCATTATGTCAACCTCCACCCCCCTCCTTATTTTACAGCAAGCAACTGGACAGGTCAGCCGCCATTGGCTGCACCTCCTCCACTTGGGCTGCCTTGCCTTTTTTAGCAGTCCCAAAAGGAGCTGCAAATTCCATGTTGCTGGCAGGGTGACAGACTGGGAGACGGGAGCCAGCAAATGGGAGATTAGATGAGAGCCAGCCACCAGTGAAGTGTACAATGGGCTCTCTAACTGACACTGGACTAGTTTGACAGTTGTCACCTTCAGACAGGGGTGATTAATCCCTCATGAATAGGGTGTCATTTGCTTCCTTTTCCTTTTAATCACTCTCTGGTGTCCTGGTCTTTGGTGTTTGGAAATGCAATGAGGACATTTAAGACAGTGTGGCATAATTTGCTCGCAGACAAGAAAAAAAGGTGTAGGAGTTTGAGTTAAATAATTGTTGTCTTCCTGAAGATCTCCATGTGTTGAAATAACCCTTTCTACATGTCACTTGTCCATAAAAGAGACGAAATGAAATAAAATGACTTTATGACTTTCAGGTGGTTTCTTGTGTCTAGAGAGATGTTGGATAAGTCACCCTCTGGTTAGTTTTCTTCTTCCAGAGTAAAGCTATAGACCTTAAATAGTAATCAAACACTTTGAATATTTAATAAAGTTTAATATTAAATCCTCTTTTTGTCACTTCCTGGACTACTGGAGAGTAAAAGATGATCAAATATAACCAGAGAAAGCTCTTAATTATAAAATAGAGGGAAAACCATAATGAGTTGAGTGTCGTTGTAGTCTAGTCTAGTTTAAAATAAAGAGCTCGGACAAAGGCACAGATAATACAATATGTGAGTGTACACCATTTTCTTTACAGCCTCGGCTGACTGACTCAAGTTTTATTCAGAGCATGGATAAAATAAATGACATGGGTTTTGTTGTGACATGTTCTGTTTCTGTAATACTTTTATTTACCGTCAATGGTCATGGGCGTTCAAACACACACTCACGTCAATTTAACCTTTGTAGTAGCAGATCACTAGGGGGATTTTACATCAAGTGTAAACTTTCTGACTCAGCGTTAAATACAGTATGTCATATAAAGGAGGAAATTAGTTTGCATCTCGTAGATGACTCTCTGCTCTCTGTTCAAGTCCAAAGGAATGCATTACACCACCGTAGCCTATGTTTACTATGCACTGCCGTGACTCTGAACTAACATCCAGGGCTGTTTATAGACTGGCCAGCTGAGCAGGAGACACATGGAGATGGTCAAACAAAGCAGTTGGTCCGTGGAAGCAAACTGTGATAGCTGTTCACCAGCCTGGTAAATGGCCTGATAAAGATATCAGTGGTGTTGAACCAGAGCAGTTCTATTTACAGTATCTCTAGGAGTTTCTAGTCAATGTACAGAGTAAAACGTCACCTTCCTTTTCCAACCATTTAATGGTTCAGTGGTGGTAGCAGTTGAGTGTCAGGTGCCGTCGGTCTTCACACGTGGTGCTTTGCTGCTTCAGCTGGCACTGG